CTGCCCTATACAAGAGCCTCATAACCAAAAATAAAATCTCATTAATGTAGCTTGGTGTACCATGTGCGTGTTTTTGAGATACAGCACATGAACAAGTAGATGGAAAACAGAACGAAGACTGATGATGGGCTAGAGGGTCTCTTAAGCTGATAAAACCAAAGCAAGCTAAAGCAGGGATGCATGCTCAAGATGGAATAGGACTTCTGACAACGGGGGGAAGACATCAGAAGGAGGCGAGATGCCACTTAATAAGAACATCTAAGAACTACTTGGTTTAGGAAGTAGAAGAACGCAAAGTAGCAGTCCTGCAATGTAAGATCTGACCACCATAAAGGATCCCACTGGACATGAATCAAAAATGTTTTAGTGTAAGAAACCATTTGTCTTGTGATGCAAACGGGAATGCCATATGTAAGACACATCAAGTGATCCTTCCACTCCACTGAATCTTGGTCTGGTCCCAAGTGGAAGGGCATCTAGTTTTACACATCACACTCCAGAAAACGTGACTTAAGAAAATCCACCAAAAAGCAGCAGGAACAGCCAGGAAAACACAAGTTACCAAGAACATCCATTACAATTAACCTGGAGAAGTACAGAAAGGAATTGCTGATGAGAAGGTAACACCCTCCTCCCCCACTCTAAATTGCATGAATAAAAAGTATAAAAAGCCTAAAAGAATAGGAAAGCAGATTTAGGTTAGATTTACAGAAGAACTTTCCAGCTAACAGATAAGCAAAAACAGTATCTAACTTTCAATCTTAACAGCGGCAGCTGCAGCACCTCCAGCACTTGAAGTTAAGAAGAGTTTGAACACTCTGGCTTTACAACCCAAGGATGAATCACAGGCTATCATTGTCCTTTACAATGCAAGTTTTTACAATTGCCGACTCTAAAGTAGTACTTACAGCAAAAGAAACAGCTCATTGTGAAGGAGAGAATGCACCTCATTCATGAATCTAGCAAGAAGTAGTCTTCATACTGTATTATGTTATAAGGACAGTTAACAGACTCAGTGTATTTCACCACTGAGAAGTAGTTTCACTGCGGCCCTTGCTTTGAATAGCATAATTCGACATAATTAAAACTATTGTTTGAAATTTAGGTACTAGCAGTCATCACCTCTTTACCTGTTAGCTGAGATGTGTCAGAATTCCGTGCAATTTTCGAGCGTATACAATTTAGTCATACTGCTTGTATTTAAGTTTCCTATGCGGGAGTTGTAGGAGGGAGAATAGCGATGGTGGGAAAGAGAACAGAACTTTGAACATTTTCCTTGATGCCCAGCCCACACTCATGCTCCATAAATGCTGTATGAAACTGTTCCTTAGTTTTATCTGGGGACCATTAAAATCCTGTCAGAATACAATCAGTGCAAAATGGATGAGAATCATTAGTCAGAAACAGCATTACAAGCATAAAAGGATGGGTTTTCACTTACTCTTTTAAGAAGAAACTAATTTTAAGAAGCTACTCTTGCCTGATTTTATGGTCATTTCTCTATTGGTTTCTGCCAACAGAAAAGGCACGTTCTATTTTTGGACAGCTAGTTAGTTCCATCTCATTCATCCAAACAGATGAAGAGAACAGAGGTAAGCAAGTACCACCTAACAATATGTTTTTATTTCCACTTATGTCTAGCTTTGAATAACCCAAACAATTTTATCAAGTCAGCTTTCAGTTTTAAAAGTGTGATGATGTTTAAGAATTCCCTCCTCTACACAATACATGATAAAGTCTGGATTTAAGCGCACTTTGCCAGACCAAAACTCTGAAAAGGGAAGAACTTGACAAATTGCTAGCACGTGTTGGTGCGCTGAAGAAACACTGTGGATTTCATGGGGGCAGTCCAAGAATCTATTTTAGACAACAGTAAAGATACAGCCATGCTCCTTTAAATCCAAACACTCTGAGGTGAAAATATTAGTACACTGAAGTCTTTAATTCTAAACAAGCAGCTGGAGAGACAAAAATATCGCAAAGGTTAAAAAAAACAGCAACTGGAAAAGGCATGTTATTCATCACCAAAGAGCAAGTCAAGCACCATTCCATAAGGAGGATGCTGTCACTTTTGAAGCACTGAAGTGATTTTCCAACAAATACCAGTTGGAAACTACAGGTTTAACACAGATGATCTTGACAGACTGGCTTTTTCCAGCTGTTCCTCCTCATGCTTCCTCATCTCTCTTCTAACCCTCCTTTCCGTCACTTCATCTAAACTATGCTCTGGATACAAGTGACAAGCTAGCATGCATCAGAAACGCAGCCTTGAAGAACCTGGCAAGTTTCTCTGAAGAATATTCAGGAAAAATTACATTTCTGACATGCAATTTTTTCTGTGATCTTTAGGTATTTATGCAAGAGCTTTAAAAAATAATCCACACGGGTGTCAAAAACCTCTTTCCAGTTTTAGTAAGCTTAAATCTATAGGGGAGTCTGATTCAAAATATTCTGAATTACATTAACTCTGGAAAAATCACTGGCAATTCAACCGTGATCTCCTGTCAGAAGCAGAAAAAAAGGCTGCTTCCCACAGACACTCAATATTCCACTGAGCATCTTCTGTGCAAGGTGAGCGGTGACCTTCCCTGCAGTTTCAACATGAACATTACCATTCTTTTATCATCTCTAAACTCACATGTGTTACTTGAACTATCACCTTTTGCTATACTAGCAGCTTTGTATCAATAATAGATAATGCACTTCTTGCATATACACTTTGGAATCCTTCCACATACCTTCAAAGCATAAACCTGTGTGTTAGATATGTTTTGTTTCTAAAGGAGTTGTCACTGACATACTAGCACGTGCCTGTTCAAACCAAAACATCATTTTTCTTAAGACTTACAAGGAGTATACACAATTCAGGAAATGGCTGTACCTGTTCTTCATGCCAAAGCAAAAGAGGAATTGTTCTGTTTCATGAAGCATCTCACAGGCCATTAATTTGCTGAAAGAAAACAGTTCCTCTGCGGCAGGTCCTACAATCTTTAAATTTGTCTCCCTCTGTTACAACAGCATTCGAATTGGTGTAGAAATTCAACAGCAGCAGTAAACCTTATTCAGAAGAGTCTCCACCTTTCACTTGACTTGAAAGCGCTCTCCTCCTTTCCAAGAAGATTTTCATTCACCTGTGTAAACTCCTACAGCAGTACAAATACTCAGCCTCCCTTACCATTTAACTGCTTGGATGATTCTAGTTAACCACATAAAAATTAATGAGCCTTCAGGATACACCTGGGGTCTACAGTCTTACCTCACACCAAGAACTGCTACTGCTTGGTTAGCTTCTGTCAAGAGTGGAAGTCATGATTAAGACACTGGAAGGCTAAAGCCTTCCATCTATCCCAAAAACTTATTTTATTGTCGACCTCCAGACAGATAACTGCTGTCAAACACCGAATGTCTGCACTGCCTACCAGCTATCTGGAATTGTTATGCCAGCTGCCGGCATTTGACACCTTGCCTGCTAACTCTGCACAGGAACAGCTTCAGGCCCATGACCCATTTAACTTGCGCCTCAGAAGACTGCTCATCTCAATCCACCCAGATACAAGGGGAGGAAACACAGCACCGGTAGATTAACCCTGTGATGGTGATGCTCAGATGGGACAGCTATCACAGGAAGCAGACAGCATCTCTGCAACAGAGAACCGGACTTCATCCACAACTCAGCAGCACATTCCTGGAAGCTCACGGGAAGTCAGGTCCCCAATTCCCACTGAACTCCAGTGGGATTTGCCCAGGCTCTTTTAAGCACCACAAAAAGTCCCTCATATTGCAGAAGGCCTACAGTTTTCATTCATACAGTGTGGATGCCAAAGCTGCTTCTGGTTGGTTAGCAGAGAGAGACATGAAGCTCGGTTCTGGTTTCAGACTGCAAAATCTGCACATACTACAGCAATAATTCTGATCTGGCATCCCTGGGACATTATTTCTTTCATCTACATCTCTCCCAGCATTGACAAATATGCTGAAAGCCTCAGCGTTTCTTCTAGAGTAAAGAGCCAACAAAGCTGACTTCATGCTGCAAGGCAAAATTTACTTCACTAGAGGGAAAATGCTTGGACTGAACAATATCTGCAGAGCAGTAAGGAAGAAGAGAGAAAGAAGTATGAAATGATGAATACTTGTGTGGGATTGGTATATTAGTAAGGTATCCCTTCCTTCAAGGTAAATTTTCCCAGTGCACATAAACTGGAGTCTCTTGTGAGCCAAGATCCCTGCCCTTTGCAGCATTTACAGGCCAAAGCATCCCTGACATTAGTTTCACCGTGATGCTGCATAAGAAGCCGCTCCAGAAAGACTGTGCTCGGGCACTTCTGGAGCAGATGAAACCTGCCTCCACAGCTCGCTCTCGCCTTCGGATGGCACGATAAGACATGCATTTTTATAAGCGCTGCAGGACCTTCCTTCGAGCAGGAGGCTCGCAGTCGGTTAGGCCAGCCTCTTGGCCCTGCTTGATTCTGCCACTAATTGTCATGCACTTGGCTGCAAACTCATCAGGGAGGAGGCATGCCGCGCTAGATTTAGCTCATGCTATCCTACAAGGAAGAGAGGTTGTGGGTTTTTTTTTTTTTTTTTCCTCCTTCTTTTACGCTCCTATCAGAAGACCTCTTTAGTTGCTAAGGAACTACGGGTTTATTGCATTATAAATGATTTAAGGGAGCCCGGCAGATGCAGGTTTAGTAGGCGGGAGGAGATGTTCCATTTTACCGGCAGCACGAGACGCCTCAGGAGAAGCGGGGGGGGGGGGGGGGGAACCGCCGCGGCGCGGCCCTGCCAGCCCCCCCTTCCCTCAGGGATCCAAAACCCGGGGTGCTCCCCCCAAAACCCGGGGTCGAGCCCCCCCTCCCCGGGCTCAGGGGACAACCGCGGAAGCCCAGGGTCCACATACACACCCCCCACCGGCTTGACTCCCCTTCACCGCCATACCCGCCCCCGTAGCAACCAGCCGCCCCCGTAGCAACGCGCCCCCCCCCTCCCCTCCCCGCCCTCACCGTTCTGCGCCGCGGCGGGTCCCGGCAGGAGGGCGGCCGTCACCAGCAGCAACGAGAGGGCGGCGGGGAGCGGCCCGGAGCGCGGCATCCTCCTGTCCGCGGGCCGGGGAGGGGAGGCAGGAGGAGGCAGGGTGAGGCGGGCGGCGGGAGCGAAGCGGCTCCGTCCTTCTCCGCCGACCTCCTACCGCAGCGCTGCGCCCGCTCTCGCGACGCCTGCGCCACCTCTCGCGAGATTTGACGGGGCGGGGTGGGAGGGGGGGGGGGGCGCGCGCGCCGTGCGGGGCGGGGGGCGACGGTGTGTGTATGGGGGGGGGGTGTGTGTCACGCGTCACGCTGCCCGCCCCCCTCAGCCGCCATGTTGCCGCCTGTCCCCGCCCCCGCCCCTCAGGCGCCGAGCTGGCGGGAGGAGGAGGCGCCCCCCCCCCCCGCTGCAGGGCCGTCCCTCCTGCCGCCGGGGGAGCGGGGCTGCCGGGAGCGCGGGACGCCGCCCTGCCTCTCCGTGGGCTCCGTGGGCTCCGTGGGCTCCGTGGGCTCCGAGTAACGGCAGAGAGTCAGGCCGGGAGCGGCGGGCGTAGCCTCCAGGGTAACGGAGGAGACCTGTGCGCCATTCTGCGGGGGTCGGGGGGTGTCGGAGGGATGCAGAATCCATCCCAAAGCGCTCAGCTTTAGGGCCGTGGAAGACCAAAGCGACATTAGATACCGTTTTATCAGTCACACACACAAAAAAAAAAATAGTTAATGTGTTTTTCCAAAGGCCCTCTTCTTTTTGCACGGGTAGGAAACTACGGCCACAAGAACTGAAGGTGTTTGCGCCAGATTAGTGGTGGGGCTTGGGCATAAAAGCTCGTTCCCAGTTCACCGGGCTTGCCAAGCATTCAAAAATGACCGCTGATGAGCTTTTGGGCAAGTTTTCTCTTTGTTTTCCTGTCTGTAAAACAGATGCTAAGGTCGGATCTACTCCTTACACTGGTTGCTGCGCTGGTGACCCCAGCTGCTGGTAAACTCAGTGTAGTTACTTAAACCAGATTTCTGATTGCTCTCCTTCAAGGGATGGCACGAACGGCTGGAGCCTGCTGCTGAGTGTGAGCTGCTTGTTCTAATACACACCTGAAGTGGGGGAGATGCAAGAGTTGCAGGAGACTGTTGGACAGACCAGTAGGGAAGGATGCTGGAAAATTAAAAGGCAGAAAATCCCTCTAGAACAGATTCTTCTCTTTCTGTCGAGTCCTCTGTTGCCAGTCTTCTGCAGGCATCGGTGAACCTGCAACGCGATGGACTGGGGAGCAGGTGCAGAACCTGCTCACCTCGTGCTGGAAACATCCAAAACAGTTGTGATTCCTCACACCAATCTACCGTGACAGCGAGAGCTTATTTGCCCAGGGCACAGCATGCAGCGGCTGCACAGATCATGCCCTTGCTCCCCCTCGCCCCTCAAAGCAGCCACTTGGCTTTGAATCCCTCAATCTTTACCCTGGCCTGGGTATTCTCAGCTGATCGCTAGCAAACAGACTCAGAGGAGAGTCATATTATTGTTGGTGTGACTCAAAGACTGAAAAGGAGGATGGGACACACCTTTTTTATGAAAAACCCGCTACTGGCTTGAAGCCAGTGAAATCGCTGCTTGAGCACTTCAAGGACTTTGATGACGATCGTGGGCTTAACAACTGCAGCTTCACAGAGCTGAGGTCACACGTGAGAAACGTTTAGGCATGTGCTAGTGCTGTACTAACCCTGGCTGCCCCTAACTCTCCAAGGATGCTGTGGTGCTAGATTGGATGCGCATCAGATATTCCACTGTGCCGTGGATTCTGCGCTGGAGAATTTCCATGGTGCATTTCCATGACTCACTATTCGTGCCAGCTGAATCATCTGTGACACTACTATTTGTTTTCTTGCCATGGTGCAGAAACATCCTTTTTCTTCTCTCTGTGGAACCGTTCTGACAGTAGCCCTTCCAAACCAGAAGGAATACGCAAAAAGATCCAGAAATCAAGGTTTCACATGGTGGTGTGCTTTCTGCTCTTTGCATGCTGTTTTGCCTGCTGAATATTAGCTCCAGAGGATTTTGCTATAACTCTCCTTTTTGCAAACACCCACTCGGTATTAGGCCTTACCTACACTCGACTGTTTTTTGGAACTAGTCAGTGATGTACTTGCCTCTAAGCATGGTTGGTATCTGCACAGTAATACTTGTTTCGTAACCATGGCAGCTCACCATGACTCACGCTGCCAGAGGCCTGGGCCGAAGTTAGCAGAAGGCTTATTTTTTTCCCTCTGTAACCAGCTCAGCACACTGTTGTTTCGCCAGATCTTCTCCCCACAATTGCATAACTCACCCATCACATTCGCATTGCTCTGTTTCTGTCCTGGGGACAACCCCGGGGACCTGCTGCCCCTTTACCGCTGGGTTCACCCTGGTGCGGGCGCTTGCTGGGAGCTTTGCTCTGCTGGGGCACGCCGGGGTTTCCCTCGAAGGCTCCGATCAGGGATGGTTACTCAGAGCGGTTAGCGAAGACGCTGCACAGACTGAGCTAACTTGTGGGTTTGTGGTTGACTCAGAGGTGCTGTGAACATACAGCACAAAAAATCAAAGCAGAAGATTGCCGCGGCCAGAAGAAGATTATGCTGATGGACCAGATCCGAAGCTTGCTGTTGCCTTCAAGAGTCGTTTGGGGGACATAAACAGGTTCCTACAGATCCTTAATATATATAGTAAGCTCTGTTCATGCCATACTCAGGTATCCAGCCATGGTTAGTATAGGGTAAAACCCTGTTCTACCATGCACGAGTGCATCCCCTTGCAACAGGCTGCACTTATAGTGGAGTTGTGGAGAAAAGGCAGATTCACCAGCAGTGAATTCAATGCAGTGGCTTGGTACTGAGGAGACAGGGTTTTTTACAAAAGCTGGTATTCCACCAGACAGAGTCTTCGCAGGCTTATGGATGATGTCTTTTGCTTGTGTAGGTATGGTGATTCCTGACCTCCTGAGTGGCAGGGGGAACTCAGGCATGTCAAAGTTTCCAAATACAGTAACTCAAAATCCCTGCCCTTCAGTCAAGACCCATCTTTTCACCCGGGGTGTCTTAATTTTGATTATTCTCTGACTATTCCTTAGGCCTTCAGCAAAAGCAGGACAGAAAATCTTGGATTTGAAACAAGCAAAGAGGAAGAAAATAAGCCAAAACATAACAAGCAGCAAATTCGGGAAAGAGTTTCAGTTCTCGCACTGGCAGAGCAGCAAAGAGGCACGGTCCTTTTTACTGGATGATCTTTGAGCCTCTCTTCTTGCAACTTGAAGTGTTTTAAGAGATCCCTGTTATATCAATGTATTTATTGATATGCTTTGGCACTTGGAGAAGGCTTTGCCTCTAGAAGTCTCACTTGCAGTCACCTTCTTTTGAATCTATTATTGGCAAGTTGAAAATGTAGGGTAGAGCATGGAACACTCGCTGACGTCTAGCAGTGAAACTCAGCGACTGCAGCTGCTCTCAGGGCTGAAAAACGCTGAATAACATCAGTTAATACTTTGAGGGCGACATGCTAGGAAAAACACAGATCCATATCCAACAGGCTCAGATCAGCTCGTAGACACACACACGCACACACGGGGTGTATTTGCAAACCAGAATGCCTCGGCGCTGTGAGGCTGCATTGTTAAGCGCATGATTAAGATAACTGCACTGCGTTTGTTTTGTGTGCTTTGGGGGAGAGAAGATTGAGCAAACACAATGCAATACGTGTGTGCGTGTATATACGTTATATAAGGGCAGAGACTCAAACTCTGGCTTCTGGCCCTCGGCGGTCCTTGCCTGCCTTGCAGCGTGGCAGAGGTGTGTGGCTCTGCGGCGAGCTGTACTGCCGGAGGTAAAGCATCCCAAAAGGTAGCTCTGGCCTTTGGGTTATACATCTGATTAATGTACATAAATCTCTCCAAAAGCACAACATCGGGTGGGGGAACACCATTAGCCTAATCAGATAACAGAATGGAGCTATCAGACAGGGGTGACACCCATCCCAGTGACTCATCAGAAGGGCGCTCTGGCTCTTCTTGCAGACAGGGGTGTGCTGCACAGGGGACTCCTTACAAGTTTTCATCCTAAATAGCCAGAGAAGGATTGAACTGCAAAAGAAGTAGCACACTGAGGAATGAGAGGCAAGGAAAAAGCTCATAAAATAGAGAAACAGGCTTTCTGAAAAAAAAAAAAAAAAAAAAAAAAAAGAGAGGAAAGATCCTAGGGTAGTGAAGAGAAGAGAATGTAGATATTCCCTCTTATTTTGCAGAAAGCTGGCTTACACATCTCAACCCCACTGGGTAATGGCGGTTTGGTTATTTCGAGCAATCTCCCATCCTCCTACATGTTCAAGTGTTCCTGTCAGAACTGGTTAAAATGTTTTAACTGATTTTTTTTTTTTTTTTTCTGAGAAGAAATGTCTTTTCACGCAAGACAAACATTGTAACAGAAAGGGTAATTCTGGTCAGAATGATTGGCAATGTAAACAAATAGTCCAATGAGAAATATCGTCACATTTGATTTTATCTTTGTTATGACAAGAATCTGAAGTTTGTCTAACCTGATTTTCGGCAGAAAAGGAGCGAGGACAAAAAGAAAGGAAAGTGCTTTTTCTGCTCTCTGACCCAACCTCAAAGTTACTTCTCTCAATTGCAAATTGTTCATCCAGCTCAGCCATGTGGTAATGTTTTTCTCCACCCAGTTTTTTAGGGAACCGGGTCCAATAGCTTAGTTTCCAGTTACAGATACATGAGAACTATTCCCTGACCTCATTATCCCAAGGAAAGGGATAACGTTATCCTCCTGCTCTCGTTGGGAGCAGCTCCATCCCTCCACGGGCAGGATGCACAGGGTCAGCCACACTGCACCCCAACTCGCTCTCACACGCTGTGGGTCCCAGCAAGAGGCCTCCAAGAAGGCACAGGGGAAAACCTGAACATCGGGAGCAATTTGCATGAGGCAAAGGTGAAGCTGTGGGTGATGCCATCAGAAGTAGACGGCAGGTGGCACCCATGGATTAGTGCAGGGCTTGCTCCACCCTGGGCAAGGCCTGCCGCTCAGGTTTAGCTTTATCTTGTGGAAGAGGTAGAAGAGCAGGGAAATGGGCTCTCTTATTGCATACGGGGGCATCTCTGTGTCCTGTGTGGGATGGCCATTTTATCACCCAAGCTATTCCTATCACATTTTGTTAGCCTAGGGATCAGGCTTGGCATTGTTCAAGG